TTTTAACATTTGAAGTGCATGAATGCAAAATCGCATCACTGGGCAGGGCCGAACAAAAGCCTGTTCGAACATTTACCGAAAAGCTAATGTCTCTAGGGATATTAATACAAAAAATAGACACCAAGCTTATAGGTTTACTAGCAAAACTGCTAGTTTTCGAAACCGCCAGTCAGAAAATAACATTTGCTAGCGAACCATAAGATCAGCATTTATTTTGATATATTAATACGCCTACGGATAGGTATTCGAACAAGTTTTTGTTCCGCCCTGCCCAGTGATGCGATTTTGCATTCATTGTAGCTGTCCTTTCAAGATCTAATAAACAGCACTGATACTGCATCAGCCAGCTTTTCTCCACGAAATTTCCCTCCTCATATCCTACTGAATATTGATCCCTTGTCCCGGGTATACTTATCTGACGGCCTGAATATTTTCCTTTCCAGTGAGCCCTTCGACCTCGCGTGAAATCGTTGATTATGTACTTATTCTTCACGAGTTATCCAACCATGGTTTTCATTACCGACAAATATTAAACGCCTGGGTTCTAAGTGATGATTGTAACGGTTCAGTAAAGGCAGATGGTGACATGCCTGCACAATTCAACTGAAATGGGATTTATGGCGATTTTTAACTGTCCTCTTGCACACAGGTACACAAACGGTTATTTTTCAGGCTATTACCCTATGGTATTCTGCAACGCGCAATGCATCGATTCACCGGTGATCAGGTTGTTGAGTAGAGCGATGCCTTACGTGTAGTTGCTCATGTTTTTGGAGTCGATATTTCAGCTTTACCAGCAGCGTCAGATACTGGGTTCTTATGCCAAAATGTTACTAAATATGGATACGCCATATCCTTGCTCGAAGACGGCATAGAAAACCATTTGAGCATGCCATGGCTTTATGACATTTTTGCACTTGTGGCACACAGTACAATTTACATGATCTTTACGAGCGGATGAAGTTGCATAAAATTGGTTAATGCTTATAGGAGCTAGCGAGGAGGTTGGATAATGTAACAGTTTCTTTGTTTCAGTGTAGCAATTAATAAGGACGATATGAAGTCCTTTATTTACCGACGTTTTTCAACAGCGTCATAATCGTTCTTAATTGTTGCCTTAATCCATCATTCAGAAAACAAAGATTTAGCTGCTATTGAAATAAGCAATAAATGGCTACTTCCTTCCATACCAGTTTGTAACGTTCACTCGTTTAGATCCTAATTCCTGAATATTTATCCTGAATATTTAATTTCGTTGTGTCGCAAAACGGTATATCTTTACGCTGATAGATCGTCATACGCATGTAATGTATCATGACATGCACCTATTTCTGATCGGCCAGAACAGAACTGTGTAGAGTTTCGTCTCTTTACGCGCTGTGATTCTGTTACTGTAGTTTTTAATCATTTTATTCTCAGTTTTTTTTGCAAATGCAGACCGCAGTTCAACGTATGGACAGCGACACGATGGCAGTACGTTCGTCTGATAGTACGTATCAAGATCTGCACATCATATACAGGAATAGTCGTACTGATGAACAGAAACGACGTTTGCTTTTGCTTCTCGGTTCTCTTGCTTCAAAGTTTGGTGAAACTGACGTTCAGAAGTAACACTTTTCTGTTTATTTGCTCTGACCGTACTACCTCTTGTTTAGAGTTTGCCGCCGTTTCTTTAAAGAACAAGACATAAACAAGCTACTCGGTTTTATCGAAAGGACTCCGGACGAAGTAAGTACTTTTGCTGATTGTATCAAGTAATTGATGTGACTAATCTGCGTGTCAGAACTTACCGAAACAGCTATTCTGAATGCTACTGATATCGATATAACATAATGGCCGATGATGGATTATATTTAGACCGTCAGCGTTTCGGCCAAACTGATTAGTCATCCTCATGGCAAATTCGGACTGCGGAAGCCCATCAACTGCACTCAAAATAAGTTATAAGCGGCAAAGGCAGTTACCGCGGTAATGCAAAATTTCAGTTATCTAAAGCAATACATTGAACAACATCCACCGAAGATGTCAAATGAACTGCCACCATGTTGCACGTCGCGAAATAGTTATTATTTACCCACCCAATCGGCTGAAGGCCCCGTTGACCGCCAAAAATTCCCTGCAGCACGTATGTTGAAGAACTCTGCCCCAAACTCGGATTATCTTCTTCCGAAGCTCAGGCGATGGCACAAGATCGGGAACGTTGGAAGCATGTTCTGACGCGTTTGTCTCCGCCACCTGAAAGTATAGGCGCATCCATCAGAACTGATAAACTGACTGACTGACTGACTGACTGTCGGCTTTATCATCTCCAATGATAGCACTATCCAGGTGGAGTTAAATAGGAGGATTGCTCTAGACTCGAGCTGTTTTGGAAACCTGTTCAATTTTGGGCTGAAATAGGGGCAACTCTTTCCCAAAAAATCCGCTGTGCATTGTCTCTGCTAGGTCAGTGTTGTGCGGCATATGCACTGTTGTTCTAACGAAGGAGCAATAACTACTTTTGAATTGTGTGTAGCGCTGTTGGCTTCGACGCATATTGAGGACTAAGTGGCAGGGCATAAAGAAATGTCTCTAAAACTCTTTTGACTATGTCTTTTGGGCACAAGTGGCTTCAATAATTTAGACAAGCTGGTGGCAATAAACTAGTTACTAAAGAATATCTGCATGCAGCAGCGTTGAAGCCAAAATACGGCAGACGTCAATCAGGGGGCTACAGTGCAACATAAAAGAACACGGTAGAGACAAATCTGCTTTCGGCGAGGAATGTTTTCTTCTACGTTGCAATAACTGATGCCTTACAATAGAAGTGTTGTAATGCTGCGAATAGAGCGAGCATCACAAACGAAAGACAGACGTTTTGCATGTGCAAATGGCTCGAGATAATCTCAACACACTACCTCGACTTCAGTTTTGTTGATATGCCATATGACTGGAACGTTTAAGGGCAGAAATAATATCTGTTTCGATGGAAAATTTTATTTTATGAAGTACCGAAACTTGTATATTTTGTAAATGTATGATGCATAGATCTTACGTAGATTAAACGTTGTGTGTTGCTTAATGATACCTGGAAGCGGATCGATCCTACTTTTAAACTTTAAATTTGACGTATTTTATGCATTCATTAACGTAATTGTAATGCACCAAATTGGGCTTCTTCCGCTGTACTGCGGCATTACTCGTTAATCCATCGATGAACGCTGAATGATTCAAGTGGCTAGGCAATGTATCGCTAGGCGCCAGTGATGCTTCCGGTGTCAACTCTCCTGATATGCTTTTTCAGTCTCAGAAATATTGGTTCGCAACTGGGAGCGCGTAAATTCTCTCATAACTCCACAAAGTGGCTTAGACGGTGCCAGTAACACTGTTCTAGGGCTTTTAGATGGATATGACACCGAATCCTATATCCAAGTAAATTAGGTAGACTATTGCTGAATAGATTTTCGTGCCTAGTGGGCGACATACAATCTGCTGTTGAAAACACAAGATTCTTATGACGATAGGTTTTATATTGGGTTATTTAAAATTTTTCACAGACAATCGACTATTAACTCCGTATATCAAAATGACTACAGTTGGATTACAAACTTTTTCGTAATGCCTAATTGATTTTAATTCCCGATTCGTTGTTCAAGCAACAATTAAAAAGGAAGATTTAATTTCCTCTGTTTACTGATTTGTTTCGAAGTTGTATAACATCGTTATCGCTAGGACAATATTATGCCAAATTATGTTACTTATGTTATTTCTCCGATGATGATGCTGGCAGGCGGTGTCGAAACGCGTCGACAAATAAAGGATTTCACATAGTCATTTTTAAGTGCTGCCTTGAACCACTAGCAAGGAAGCGAAGACCATTAAATCTTCCTATAAAGGTAACGCATTAGTTCCCCCGTCCGTACTTATCTTTTCTTAATAACGTTATTTGTATGCAGCGACTAAGTCCAGGTTTATTTTTTTCTGTTTACGTTATTCGTATCCCTATTTGCAAGAAAACTTTAAATCTTTTATCTCATTACTGTTTGAATGGAACTAAATAGCTGAAATGATTTAGTTTTCTACTGATAGATTAAATATGATATCTTGTCAGGTAGTTGAAATTTCCTTAAAAGTGTCTTTGATTTTATTCGTTCAGTCCTGATGATGTTGCGATCTTGGTAACGAAGCGAATCGAGCGTTGGTAAAACTTTTCCATGTCTGTTTTACATATGGATTTTTTAAACATTCATGAAAAGAAAACCCTTCTATTAAATAATCCATATTTTGATTTTAGGCATTGCAGCTATTGGAAGCAGTCTATTGGATATTCTTGAGCGATCCTGGTTTTTATTTGAGGGTCATAGACTGGAAGTTCGCCGTACAGTATTTGAGGCAGCAGCCAGCAGTGCAGTGGTAACGATGGGTATCATTTATTGGCCGTGTCTGTGATCGAATCATATTTTCAGGTTATCGTTCAATCTGCTACGGATCGTGTTACGAATCAGCGACAAAGATCTTAATCATCTCCTAGACCTGTACATCGACAAGAACAGATCTTTCCAAACCGAAGCGTAAATTAAATTTTCATTGCCTGTTTTATATTTTTTCGTCACAAATGTTCATTTATGGTGCACTTTTGTAGGCCACTGATTTAGAAGCCGTTTAGCCCTGTTCTCGGCTCATTAGTTCTAAAAGATCGCTAAACTGTTACCCCAAATAGAGCTGCATCAGGTTGCAGTTCCTGCCTGTCATGAACGACATTCTCGGGCAATTTCTTTCAAGAAACCACTTTTTAGAAGGTTCCTTATTCTGAGTTTCATGTCTGAAATATGTTAAAAATTCGTAGTATTAAATCAGTTTGACTCTAGAACTGTTTCTAGGTGAGGTTTGAATAACAGATCAGCTTTTCTTCTGCAAAACCGTCAAATTTTCTACATCATACTTGTGCCTTATTCAGTCTGTCTGTTTCGAGGGCCGCTTATCCTAACGGGTTGTGGAAGCAGACCTTTCGAATCCTGTGTGAACGTCTTCGTGTCGGCAGAAGATGACGCGGTTCTATAGCAGCATATTTCGGTACACTTGCCCCAGATTATTTTTTATTGTCCCCGAGCTTTTCGGCCGGTCGGCTAGTCAAATAGTAGTTGTTCCAGCTTCCTTTATGAAAATATTCGCAACACGTGCCAAAATCATTTCAGCTATGACTTCTCAGTTTGGCGAAGTGGCAGCTGTATGCCAAAACTGTCCCGGATATCTGTGCGTGGACTCTAACCAGACGCATTGACCTAGCGATTCATCTCAGAATATCCATTTCAGCCGCTTGTACCATGGATTGAAGATTTTCATTGATGGTCTCTGACTCAGGACCATCGGTGAGCAATCCGTATGCAGATCGACTTGAACACCGACAGGTCTTCAGACCCAGTTCTTCTTTAGTCACAACGGTTCAGGCTAGTTAACGCATAACGCCGCTTGTAATTCCAATTATCATTCGATGTCTTCCATCTGTTTACCATCACTAGTAAACGTGATCCTGAATTACGTAAATTTCTCCACCTGTTCCTCTGCTTCTCTGTTTACCCGACAAGCGCAACGGGCAGGAGAAAGAGAAAAGACTAGGCTTTTCGTTTTAGACACGTTCACACGCATGCCGGCCACTTGAAACTTTCTACGAAGCACTGAAGATCAGGCTTCAAAAGTTGTGAACAAAGTAGTCGTCTGCAAACAGCAACCTCCTCTATACATTTCCTGTCTTGCTACACTCCTCGCCCTGGCTGCGCCTGACTGTTCTCTTTATGTCCAACTCATACAACAGGGGGACAGCACATAACCTTGGCGGAGACTACTGCGAACGCTGAAAGTTCTCTACTTAACCCAGCGTCTGCTATCAGATATGATGACTTGAATGTATTTCAAAGTTGACGCTTTGCGATAAGTCTACTCTTAAGCATCGCCAAATGCTGAGACAGCCATGGAAACTGATGCGTTGTGTTGATGTGTCTTCAAGGTGATGGCGTGGCGTTGTTATTTCACTGACAGAAGCGCTGCTCAGTCAACATCGTGACACGATGATTTGCTTACG